CCTGGTCACAGCTATTCTACTGGCTGTCTATGAGTTTAAATACTTTGAATATTTCATATAAGTGGACTCCTACCCTACTTGTCTTTTTTGTGTCTGATTGGTTTCACTTAGCAAAACATCCTCAAGGTTCATCCATGTTGAAGTATGTGACAAGATTTCCTTCCTTGTAAAGTCTGAATAATATTCCACCGTATGTGTACACCATTTTTTAAAATCCATTCATAAGTCGATGGATGTCTGGGTTTCTTCTCTTGGTTATTGTAAAAATTGAAAGAGACTTTAAAAGATGATGCATAGTTTCTATCATAGGCTAGTCATATAGTTCACTTAACAGCCCTTCTACTGACGGATTTATAGGCGACTTCTGCTGTCCCCTACCACAAACATCTGATGAATGTCTTTCCCATAAATAATTGCTTATATCTCTGATTACTTCCTTAGAATAAATTCCTGGAACAGAATTACTGGATCAGAAGGAGTGGCCATGTTTAAGGCTTTTGGCACATGTTATCAAACTATCTTTCATAAGTGTATGAGCAGTGTAGGAGGGAACACAGTTCTCCACTCTCTTTCCAATGTTGAGTATTGTCATTAAAAAGCAAAACAACAGAAGACCTTTGCCAGTTTGATAGCTGAAAATGGTTTCATATTATTGTTTTACTGTGATTACCAGCAGAGAAGTTGAACTTTATTTTTTATTAGGTGTTTGTGGTGTGTGTGTGTGTGTGTGTGTGTGTGTGTGTGTGTGTGTTTTGTGTAGAATCTATTCACATCTGTTGTCCATTTTCTGCTAAGGTACTTTATATCTTATCAATTTTAAGACCTCTTTATAGAGTCATGATATTCAGTCTTTATCATGTTGCAAGTATTTCCCCCAATTTATTATTTGCCTTTAAAATTTTATGGTGTTTTTTGACACTTGACATTTAATATAGTCAAATCAATCTTTTCCTTTATGGTTTCATTCCTCTGTGCATTTTGGATAAGACCGGCAAAATATCAGGTAAGGCAAGTCTACTTTTCAATGCTTCCTGCTCCAAATAAAAAGACAAATGAAGTTGTAGACAGATTAGGTTAGTGCAGAACATCATATGTTCTATACTGTATCATTCACTTATTTGCTCATTCAAAAGTATTTATTGAGTGCCCCCCCCCATGTTCTAGGCACTGTATTATACATTGGATTGTACCATATGCACGTGGATTGCCTGAATGTGATGCCCATACATGATGAATTTTCACAGACGTCCCAATCTAAAATATTCCACTCCATTGTCAGTCTTAGGTGTTAGACTACCTGTTGTGAAATGGGCTTTCGAATATATGGATGTATTATCCTCTGGCAACATGCTTACTGGGGACCCTCCTTTGCCTGCCTATACCTGGACCCAGAAGGCAAGTACATCCCACAGAATGCAGTTGGAAGGGCCAAGGTCCTGCGGCAGTGGTAGGTGTGACCATAAGGTGAGCATTGCTCCTGCTGACTCTAAGAGGGAGCAGCATCGGTTTGGGGGACCCTGTGGACTAGCCAAGCCCGTGCTGTGTCGTGTCGTCTGTCCCTGGACCATACCGTTCAAGCTGGCACAGTTGTTTAGCCTTTTTAAGCTACACAGCAAGTCACAGCCCGAGACAGTAGGACCCTTTCAGCAACAGGCTTCCTTACACTGTTGCCATTGGAGAGAGTCAGAACGAAGGAGCTGCAAACACGTTGAAGAGCCCCTTTCCAGCACAGCGTGAGCTCCCATCCTGAGGTGGGGTGGATACCCGAGTTAGGGGTCCCCCAAACCCTCCATGTGATGTGTCCCTGCCTCCTTGGCCTGCGGGACTTCTCATAACACTGGTAACCATGAGAGCCCCATGTGAGGGTTATGATGCCTTCACTGGATTTAGTTTCAGCCCTTTTCACAGGGCCAGGAAATGGATTTTTAAAAATCACAGTTGGTCAGCTGCCCATTCCTGAAGTGCCTTCCTCTGGGGCTTTATAATTCAAAACAAATATTAATAGTTGCTTTGAGGAGAAGGCCATCGAGGCAGACTGATTCCTACCAGCCCATGCATGTGGCTGGTAGGTGTCAGGGTGACTTTCAGTATATTTAGGATTTATCTGCAGTGGGATGCCAGCTGGATTACGAGGAAATATAAATTCAGAGCCTTCTATTCGGAAAACCCATTCAGCTGATGATCTTGGACACACTTGCAATTCTATCGGGGGACAGTGGGGTCATTGAACAGAGAGAGAATGACCTACCGCTGTGCTCTTCGGGAGAACTGTTCCGTTGGAAATGTTTTGTGTCTGCTCTGTCCAGCACTTCAGCCACTGGCCACAGGTGGCTACCGGCCACTTAAAATGTGCCTCGCGCGATTGAGGAACTGAATTTTAAATTTTAATTTTTGTTCGTTTCAATTAGATAGCCACCCATGGCTGGTGGATAGCATATTGCACAGTGCAGATCTGTTAAAGTACGACATGCATGTTTTCAAACTTTTTGGCCATAACTCACTGTGAGTTATACTGTGCCTCAGCACAGACGCACATGTGCCTTTATATTGTGCTTCATCACAGACGCACATATTTGTGAGCACATGCACATACATGCAGCTCCAAAGTTTCACCCGACAATGCTTAGTCTTATTATAGTCAGTGCGCATGGGTACTTTCTATTGGATTCTGTCTTTTTCATTGTTAAAGGTGTAGGTTGTGACTTGATAAATTGCTTTTGTGACTCACACGTGGGCTGTAAACACCCCCCCCCCCACCCCAGTTTGAAGGACATTGCCTTGTACTCTCTGCTCCCCACCTCCAGCCATTCTTCTCCCTCATCTTCGGTTTCTGCATCTGGCTTCCTGCTGGGTCTTTGCATTTGCTGTATGCTTTCCCTATATCATCTCTCTCTCTTGTTTAATATGTATTTTATTGCTTTTTTTTTTTTTTTCCAGAAAGGAAGGGAAAGAGATAGTTAGAAACATCGATGAGAAACATTGATCAGCTGCCTCCTGCACAACCCCCACTGGGGATGTGCCCGCAGCCAAGGTGCCCTTGACTGGAATCGAACCTGGGACCCTTCAGTCTGCAGGCCGACGCTCCATCCACTGAGCCAAACTGGTTAGGGCCCTATATCATCTCTTGACTGCATTTTTTACATCCTCGGGTTTCTGCTCAAATGCTCACCAGTAGTTTCCTCCTGCTCTAACCGTCCTGCCTTAGGGAGCTCCCCATCTGTCCTATCCTGCTTTGTTTTTCTCCATGGTAACGCTCACCACCTGACATACACTGTTTGTTTATTGTCTGCTTTCTAGCTCCTTGAAGGCGGGGGCTGTTTTGTTGATTGGAATGTCCTAGCATCCAAGCTAGGAGTTCAGTAAACATTTGTTGAGTAAATGAACACACCTGGCCCGTGACCTTTCTCAGAATTTTCGTCATGGCTTCATTTGATGAGTGGCTTGTGGAATCTTTCCTTCATTGCTTAGAGAAACGGAATCCACACCGGTGGCCTGGGTCAAGCTCTGGCCACTGGGGATAGATGTGCTAGAGGAGAAGGTGGACACATCTCTGTCCCATTGGAAAAATTAAAAAAAAAAAAAAAATATATATATATATATATATATATATATATCTATATATATATATATCTATATATATATATATATATATATATATATATATTTTTTTTTTTTTTTTTTTTTTTTTTTTTACAGAGAGGAAGGGAGAGGGGTAGAGAGTTAGGAACATCGATGGGAAAGAAACATTGATCAGCTGCCTTCTGCACACCTTCCACTGGGGATGTGTCCGCAACCAAGGTATATGCCCTTGACCGGAATTGAACCTGGGACCTTTCAGTCTGCAGGCCAACGCTCTATCCATGGAGCCACACTGGTTAGTGCCCCATTGGAAATTTTAATTGGCTTTGGGCCTCTGCCGTATATGGGTCCAAGAATGCTGTGCTGGAGGGTGTCTGGGTTGGTGCTCAGCGATGAAAGGATTCATGGGGAGAGTTTGTATTTTTCAAAAGTATAAGCAGCTCTTAGTAGGGCTGTACAGGGGTGGGGACAACATCGCAGGAAAATAATGGCAAACGAATTTTACATGAAGCCTGGGGAACTGGCCACGTGCCCCGTCTGAGCTTCTATTGTAGACTCTCTGAGAGTCTGAGACTAGATTTCAGGTCTCTTATCTTCCATGCCAGGAGCTTGCCCTATATCCTTGATGGTTTTCTCTTACATTTGCCTCGCAACATAGAAACAAAAATGGGCAACCTAAGCATTTATGATTGTTGCTTCCATGCTGAGTGGCAAGGTTTTGTGAGAACTGAGTAACGGGTTTGGTGCATAGCTATCTAATTATAATCTTACCTTGAAATTTCCATTAGCCCATCCTTATACTTGATGGTTTCTCTTACACTACGGATATGTTGGTGGTTCTTGAATCCATTTTGGAGGCTCAAAGTGTTTCTATTCTCAGTCTGTTTTCCCCTCATTTTTTCAGATTTATTATTCCTTAGACTTTTCCCCTCTTTTTCCTTAGAGAATCATTGGGATGGTGCTATTTTCTTCTTTTTTGATAAGTGTACAATTAAATAGAATTTGTTGAATGGCTTTTTTTTTTTTTTTTTCCAGCAGGGGAAGGCAATTGAGGCAGACTGAGCCTTCCAAGAGAACGTTATTATAATATTAAACCTCCGGGTAATAAAGCTGAGCCAATCCGTCCAAAACATCTGAGCAATCTCTTTATATTGTTCACGCGAGCTTTTAGCTGCATAAATTTTTACAGTGCACTGCCTGACAGTATTGTGATAAATATTCCCCGGTGATTGAATCGTTTTACGATCTCGTGTACAGGAAAAGCGCCCACAAAGCTACTCCCCACTCATCCACCTCAAATGGTAAGACACTTGATTTATGTCTCAGAAACCTTTTATTAATTTTAGCGGAGCTGTCCTTATAGAGGTCATGTGGATTTTCATACAACAGTTCAACTAAGAAACACTTTTCTTTGAAAAAAAACACATAAGGAACGCTTCACGAATCTGCATGCCATCCTTGCCCAGGGCCATGCTAACCTTCTCTATATTGTTCCAGTTCTAGTACACGGGCTGCCGAAGCAGGCACAAGAAATACCTTTTCAGGGAGAGACGGAAGGAGTGGGGATGGAGCTACCCTGCAGGGAAAACCAGAAAACGGATCCTGAAGTGATAGAGAAGCTGTGTCTCATGATTGCAGCTAATAAATATTTACAGCGAAGACTTGAGCTGCAACTCTGCAGTTTTTTATTTATTTATTTATTTATTTATTTATTTTTTAGCAGCAATGTTTCATAACCACAAAATATTGGATGAGCTCATGGAGCGGCACCTGGCGCAGCGTGCAGCAGGCTGACTCCGTGCTCCCACGAGCCAGGGGTGTGCTGCCTGCAGGCATCACGGGTCTCCACCGAGCCAGTGCAGTGGTCTCAGCTGGGATTTTGACTGTTCTCCACTGATGGGACCCTCGGGAGTATAACGGGCCCCTCCAACCCCGAGGAATGATGGATGATTTGCAGCCCTAAATGCAGCTCAAGCTGATCGTTTATGTTTTAAATAATGGCTAGTTAGCTCTGTGAACAAATGAGCCAGAGCCTGCTGACTGCCAAAGCCCCGCTGGAGGCGCATGGAGAGTGTTTGGGGAGGGCCATTAGCTCCCTCTGTGGACATGATGGGCACAGAAAGCCCCTCTTCCCTCTCGGGATTGTGCCCCTGGAAGTACTGGCTCAGTGGCTGACTAGGAGAAAGGGAAGACATGGGGTGTGGGCAGAGGGCCTGGGGACCAGATCTGAGAGGAAAGCCCTGCTGGTGGGGAGGTGGTGTCTGAACACAGGGGCTTTTAAACTGCTAGACTCCTAGGGTTTCTGGCTGCTCCCAGGGTGGGCTGTGGACCCGTAGCAATGGCGTCCTCTTGAACCTTGTAGTCCTAGGTCCTCACTCAGACTTACAAATTCAGGATCTGCACTTTCTCCAGATCTCCAGGTGGTTTGTGTGCACATTCAAGGCTGAGAGGTACTGACGGAACACCATCATTGTGATTCATTCACAGACCCTTGGTCACACGTGAATGGCACGTGATGGATAAAGCAGGTTAGTAAGTCACTCAGATACAAGCTGGTTTGCGGCACACCACCCATGTTTTGGGGGAGGAAGGGCTGATAACAATAATCATGTGAAGTTAGCTGCGAAGGGAACTGGTGGGGATTTTAATACAGTTTGGACCATAACACACTACCAACAATATGATTCAGTATATTTGAGGTGGGGTCCGATAATTTGCATTTCTAACAAGTTCCTAGGTGCAGCTGCTGAGCTGTATGGACCACACTTTGAGATTCACACTCTTCCAAGTGTAATTCTGATGGCATGACATTTGTCCATGCAATCCCTGCCCTAGGAAGTACGTGTCCTGGAGCCAAGCATGCTTGGCCCCCCCCCCCCCCCCCCAGGTCTCTCACCATGCCTCTTGTCCTACTGATTCCCAGAGTGTCATCCTGATCCACCCATCCCTGCTGATCCCCAGGACCCACCCTTCTGATTTTCTGAGTCAGCATCCCTGAGAGAGGGTACAGTATGGTCCTAGCATCCCTGGCTGACCCTCAGTCACACATACGATAAACAACCATTGCCTTGTGTGCTTCCTCCAGATGCATTGCATCCTTAGTTCCCAGGGTGGGCTTCGCCCTTTTCTTGCCTGTTGTCACTTTGCTTGGACAGCTTAGGAATGCCCTCCCACACCAGCTTGCCTGCTGGGATTCTCGCCTCCTTCCAGGTCTCCCTCAGATGCTCCATCCTCCTTGAGACGTTTCTTCTCCACCCCCGCCCCCCAGCTGGAGGTGATCCCTAGACATGCGTTTCTTTTAAAATAAGCTTTAAAAAACGAGATGCCAGTCCTTATATTTTGATCAATTGTAATACACCCTTTTCAACCTCCTCTTTCTGAGCTAAATTTATAGTATGTGACACATGTGGCTTATTGTGAGATGTAGATCAGTGGACGCTGTCATGAAAAACAAGGAAAAGCTTATGGCTCCTCAAAGTTGTTCACCAACAACACTGTCCCTCGGGCTGTTATGTATGTGATTATAGTCCGACTCAGTGCAGGCTCCTGGACTGCCGAGGCTGTCTTACATCCATTAATTGGGTCACCCATGTACCTGGCTTATAGAAAGTGCTCAGTAAATATTAGCTGAATGACATACGTGTGATTCATTTATCTTGGGTAAAGCTGGCACCGTTTCTTTTCAGGTTTTGTCTTTTATTACATGTGGAAATACACACCCTGCTCTGGATACTGATGAGAAGGGCAAACAGAAGGGATTCAACCAGGATAAGGACCATCTTCATTCAAGCTTTAAATACACGATGCCCTTAGCAACCACCCACAGCTAGCCTGCTTTTGCTGAATCCTGGATGTCTGTGGGACTCAGGATGCGATTGGGTGAGAGAAGGTGATGGGGAAGTGCTTTCCTCTTGGACTCTGTGCAGGGTGTGGGGAAGCTTAAACCCATCTAGTCCAGAGACATTGGGTATCTCTATACTCAGCACTTAGAATAAAATAGAAAGTGGGCAGGGAGTCAGTGCTTGTTGAATGAATGAATGAATGAATGAAATCTTGGCTTCAAGTCCTGTCCAGGTATCACATCTTGACATCTTTATATCTTATTTGCTCCTGTGTAGGATAGGGATGTTAATATGTGATCTAACTCTATCTCAAGGAAATTTTGAGAGCCTAGGATGAATGAATACAAGGGCACTTTTTAAAGTGTTCATAGGTCTTACTATCTAGAGCAGGGAGAACCTTTTCTGTTTCTTACAAAATAGCTCTTCTTGGTCCTCAAGGTCTGTTGGAAAGATGTGTCACTTAGGGGACTCTTAGTTCTCTTGGTTGACCCACGCTCTGATGATTTTCTCTCTGAATTTGCAGCAAAGAAGTGCAGGTGTTGAAAGTGTTTCTCTGTCACCATGGGGTATCGGGGATCTTCCTGCTAATACTTGCTTCTTTAATGGCTATATTTTGTGCTTTGTATTGTAGCTTCAAAGAAGAATCTTCGGGAGTATAAGAATGATTTGTTGTGGCATTTCCTTTGGAATATAAGATTTGAAATGGGATGAATATATAGGAAAGACATCAGTTGCGGTAGCAAGAGTGGGAGGAAGACAACATTTGAACTTGAGTCACTTGAGTTCAAGTCCCGATTCTGCCCCTCGTTTGTAGTATGTGAACTTGGACATTTTTTTGGGTAATATTTTATTATGGAGGATTGCAAATATACACAAAATATGAGAAATAATATAATGAGCCCATCATTTATTAACGAAGGCCCAATTTGTTTCAACTATAGCACCCTCTGTTACTCTTCCCCCAATACCATCCTAATATATAAAAAGCCAGGGGCCGTCACGATTGAAACAACTGTACAGATGACTGAACAACCGGCCGTGTGGGGTGGGGTGACCAGCCCAGAGGGGGGTTAGTGAGGGATGACCAAACGACCTAACAGCAGGCTGCGTGGGGCAACCAGGCCAGCAGGGGGGTGGGGGGGTGGGGGGGTGGGGAGGGTTGGGCATTTGAGGGCAACCAGGTCAGCAAGGGGGGGCAGTTAGGGGCGATTAGACAGGCAGGCAGGTGAGCAGTTGGGAGCCAGTGGTCCTGGATTGTGAGAGGGATGTCCAACTGCCAGTTTAGGCCTTATCCCCTGAGGGGTCCTGGGTTGGAGAGGGGGCAGGCTAGACTGAGGGGACCCCCCTCCCCCCTTCATGAATTTTGTGCACCGGGCCTCTAGTTTTAAATAAAATTCAAGATGTCCCATTATTTTCATTCATAGATATTTCAACATAAATCTAAAAAAGATAGGAATTTTTATTTTTTATTTTTTTATTTTTTAAATATTTTATTGATTTTTTACAGAGAGGAAGGGAGAGAGATAGAGAGCTAGAAACGTCGATGAGAGAGAAACATCAACCAGCTGCCTCTTACATGCCCCCTATTGGGGATGTGCCCGCAACCAATGTACATGCCCCTGACCGGAATCGAACCTGGGACCTTTCAGTCCGCAGACCGACACTCTACCACTGAGCCAAACCAGTTTCGGCGAAAGATAGGAATTTTTTAAAAACAACTAAGATATCACTATCACATCTGAGTAAATTAATAATTTTTTAATATCAGATTTCTGGGTACATTCCCAATAGAATCAAAATGTTATACATTTTCTTTTTGTTTTTACAGTGTGAATCAGGATCCATATAAGGTCCACATCTTGCAATTTATAAAAATGTCTTAAGTTTCTTTTGATCTGTCCGTTCTTCATCTCTATTTTTTTCACATAAAAGTGCAAAGAAAAGGAAACTAGGTGGTTTGTCTTATAGGATTTCTCCGCTTGGATTCTGATGATAGTATCTTTGTGTTTTATTTTCCGTAAATTAGAGGTGTGGTCAGATTTACATTAGGTTTTTGGATTTGGTTTCGGTTTCAGATCTTGAGCATGTGCTTTGCTTTTCTGACCTCTGTGAGATGAGGTACATGCTGCCCACCTCATAGCTGTTACAGAATTTAGAAAGAAAAGGTCCAGGGAAGGACCACATACACACCACAGAAAAAGTAGTCGTCATTATGATAGGATAACACATTTTTGTTGGTGTTTGGGGAGTTGGGTCGCAGGAAGCTGTTTCCTCTCACATTGATCAGACTTCATATTGCAGGTGGGTATTGTGTCAGAAGTCTGAGAAACTCAGATGGCCTTGAGGGTGAATTTCTGTTCTCCCACATATTCAATTTTAGATCTGGGGCAAATTACTTAAACTCTCTGAGCTTTCTTCATTCTCTCAAAAGCGGCTAATAACACAAACCTTCAAAGTAGTGGGAAATAGAGATGATGGTGGTAAAGAGTCTTGAATGTGAGCTCATCACGGACAGAAATTTTGATACCTGAGTTCTGGCAGGGGGTTTGGGGACCCGTAAGAAGTGAAGGGATGCTGGATGTGGCTGAATGAGTAAGGGAGCAGGTGCGATGGGCTGAGGGTATAGCTAAAATTCTTGTATTTTAAACATAGTTGAGTATAAAATACTCTAGAATATGACTAA